GCAGCATATAATAAATTTAAACGTATCCTCGAAGGAGCTAAACTGAATGTTTCGCACGTAAATTCTCTTTAAAGTCTGCTCTTGACTCATTTGATATATTCTTGCTAAAAGCATTTAAATCGGGACATTTTTTTGTGAATAAGCACTTACATCACATGCCTATGATAATGCAACATTTCTGTAATAATCTAGGACATAACACATTTCTATGACATATTCTAAAAAAAAAAAACACATGAAGGACATTCATGGCTGCACGTAATAAATGAAAACGTATCCTTGAAGGAGGAAAGTCTTTGCTTGTTGAGAGAATGAGGCTCCGTATTGCATCTAACAACTTTGGCTCTCGTGGCTACTGTTGTGTTAAATAAGAGTAAGTTTTCTATTCCTCACCTTTTCAATCAATCCCCTGTTTATAAAGTTGAATGTTTCGCCCGTAAATTCACATTAAACTCTACACTTGATTAATCTGGATTATCCTTGCCTAACTTCCCACTTAGAACTGAGTCTCTATTGAGTGATATACATATAATCCTTTCTATGGTTTCTGCTGTCATCTCTAATCTGAATTCCGCCCCCCTCCAAGCATATGGACCTGATGGTATCCCTGATGGTATCCTTGAGGGGTGTGCTCCCAAACTGGCTCCTGTTCTCTCTAAAACGTATAATAAATGTCCCGATGCCTCTTGCTTTCCTGCTAGTTCGAAATCCTCCTCTGTTGTTCAAGATTTCAAGGACACACTTGAACCGGATGACCCTTAGAACTATTATCCTTCAACTTCTGTTTGGGAAAACTACTAAAGACCATAAATAACTCTGAATGGCATAAGCATCTCACATTGCAGAGCCTTCTTTCAGAAAATATGACTTTCGTTTCCGGATGTCAGCTGTTGTTATTACGAACGATTACTGCTGAAAGACATTGACAAACAATTGAATGATGACGCTCGGGCTGTTGCTTTGGACATCTCGAAAGCGTTTCAGTTTTACTTATCAAATTGCGAAATGAAGGTTGTCTTGAATGGCCACTCTTCTAGATCTTTTTTTTACTATATCTTTGGACCAACTTTGTTATTAGTTTTCATAATTGACCTTCCTGATGACATCAGTTCTCAATTTGGCATCTTACTCCTGTCTCAATAGTATGGCTGATCAGGTCGATACGGCCAAATCGGCAGCTGATCTCAAAAATGACCTACAGTCAGTTGTTAACTGGGGCAAGAAATGGCGTGTTAATTTTAACGCTTCCAAAACGAAACTGCCCTTAGATAATGATAATAGATAAGATCAGACTTAAATAGATGAATAGATAGATAGATATTGATCTGACTTAGATAGATAGATATGAAAAGAGTTCAATACACACACATACACACACATAAATGTATATATGCGTGTGTTTGTGTATGTGTATTTAGGCATTGTGTCTTCATTCAACTACGATTGGGGGAATAATCTAATAAATATATGTCTATTTATTTTTATTTTCATTCTCCGAAATTCACGGATCAACTTCTTAGTACTGTTACAAAACTGATTAAGAAAGGCGCAGTAGTTTTGGTTATTTCTTTTACTTTACTAAATACTTTCAATTTCATTCAAGATCATCTTCAGAGTGAATTTTAAAAAAAATATCGGTTGAGTATTTTTAGAACATTGATAAAAAATCTTTAAACTGAGCTACAACCTTTATATTCTAAACTTTCATTTTGTTATTGACTAACAGAGAGCGATTCATGCGCATTTACAAAATAATTCGCAACTCTCAATTAAATTAGTTTTTGTCTTACCAGTGTTCCTTAATAACGTTTCTCTTTCTTCTTCTTCTTTCTCAATATAATCAAAAAATGGATCCTTTTTCTTGCGTAAAACAAGTAAACAGCAAATTTTATATCGGCAACATTTTTTTTTTTTTTTTTTTACACATCTTTCCGGATTCTTTGATTTTACAATTCGGCTTAGATGTCTGAAAACGTACGGACAGCAAATTCTGTCTGGCCGTGTGGCTGAAATACCTCTAACTTGAACCACACTTGCATTACATAATCATATTATAACCCGGATTATACCTGGGATTTGCCCTTCATCTGATGTTTGAATATCCAGTATTGTGATTTGTGTCCGAATTAGGCGGGAACAGGTAGAAAATCTAATTTTAAAATAACTGTAAAAAAAAAATATTGATTTTAAAAGTTTAAAATTAGATTCAGTTTAAATTAACACAAATATTTTGCGACTTAAAAAAATATTTTAAATTCAATATCTCTCTATATTTCTGAGATGAGGTATTATGTACATTATTTACATTATTCGGAGTATTGTCCTCATCTTTGTCGCCATATTTATTACAACATTTCGGCCTTCTTCAGGTGGTTGGAATGTCGAACTGAACCCTTTATTTCGCTCATTGGGGTAGACTGTTCTAGTTCCACGTGCCATGTTTAATGGATGTCAGTTATCAGTTATCTCCTGGTAATTTTTCCTCTGAAAGTTCTCCACTACCTTAACCGGGTATTGAACTGACATTCTTTGGGTCCTGTCACTGGATGGAATTTTATCCACTGTGCCATGTGTCCTTGAGGAACAGTCTACCCCAGTTAGCGAAATAAAGGGTTCAGTACGACATTCCAACCACCTGAAGACGGCCGGAGCGTACAACGGCCGAAACGTTGTAATAAATATGGCGACAAAGATGAGGACAATAGTCGGAATAATGTAAATAATGTTTTAAATTCAGTTTAAAATATCTTCAAAACTTTGTGATTTGAGGAAATCAATTTAATTTCTTCCAAGAGCGAAGGAATCAGAGTTAAATGGAGAAGGCTCGTGACGTAAGGTTTTGAAGTTCCGCAGAGTTTGTGATTTGAAGAACTCAGTTTTCAGTCTGAATTGGAATTTTGACTCAAATCGGAGTTTCGGTCCAAATCGGTCTTTTGACCGATATTGGTATTATATCCCGAAGTTAAATTGATGTTTTGAAGTTCAATGGAGTGAACTGAGGAATTCAAAGTTATTTCTTCAGTGGATCATGTGCCTTTAGTTATGGTTCGGTGGCCCAATTAGCCCTCCACAGAAGCTAGATTAAATGTCCGCACCAAATGAGAGCACCTCTTTGCGGCTGCTCGGTCTCACGTTGACTGCTGACCTGAGATGGAACAAATACAATTGCTTCGTCCACCGCAAGGAAAGTTGGCTCCCTGTGCCGCACTAGGAAATTTTTCTCCCCGGAATCGATCCTTCAGATCTACAAATCAACAATTCGCCCTTGCATGGATTATTGCTGCCATATATGGTCTGGAGCCCCTTCTGTTTGCCTCGGGGTTCTTGATAAGATTCAGAGGCGGTTATGCAAAATAATTGGCCCTTTTCTGGCATCTCGTCTACAATCGCTCTCCCACAGATGCGCCGTCGCCTCTCTCTGTCTTTTTTTACAAATACTTTCATGGTAATTGCTCCGAGGAGCTGCATTCGCTGGTTCCCAGACTTCATGAGTTCAAGCGCCCTACGAAGTTAGCATCCCGTTCTCACCCCTTCACTGTTGAAACTGTTAAATGTAGCCGTCTCTTCTACACCAATAGCTTCATATCTCGCACCTCTCGCCTGTAGAACTCCCTTCCCTATTCTTGTTTCCCTGATAGTTTTAATCTCCATCTATTCAAATGTAATGTCAATCGACATCTCCACTTGCCCGGATCTATCCCCTATCCTTCTCTTCATCCTTTCCTCTATCACTCCTATCTGATCTTGCTCCAAATCTTCTGTAACCCCTTGCGTCCTAGTGGCTTCCCACCTTGCTTGGGGTGAAATGCTTAAAAAAAAATGGAGTTTTTAAGCTAGTTTATAATAATAACCATATAAATTTCTATCATCCGGTTGCTCTACGTAAGCACAGGATCACAGTATCAGATGAATTGACTCCTGTTTAAATATCGAGGGTAGGCAATAAGCCTCCTTGAGGCGCTATCCTGCACCTAGTAGTTATCCAGATAAATACTTCGATACACTTGGATTCACTGATGCTCTATTGTGACATCGAGTACAAAGCTATACCCGGTAGATATCGGGTATACTTCAGGCTAGAGGAGGCACGGTGGTGTAATGGATAGCGGCTTGGATTGAGGAATCGGAGAGCCGAGTTCGAATTCCAGTCGAATCCATTATATTCACTTACGTGCTAACACCCTTAGGAAAGGTATCAATCCTCTTCTTATCTCTCCAGCTGTGGGTAAATAGCAGGACAGACTGGGTTCTATAGCCTTGGATAGCAACTGGTCTAGGAGAAGGAAAACTCTGAATTCAAAACCTGCTCTTAGAGGAGGGTGAATGGAGTCTCTCTGAGCCTTGGTTGGCAATCCATTTAGTGTTGGTGTCACGATAAAAACACCCTTGATAGCCCTAGCGAAGCATCAAGAATTCAGCTATTTGACAAGATTATGAACTACACCAATCAAAGTATTAATGAGTTCAATCTCGGCTGTGGCCGCAAGATAATCAGGCTATGTTCTCTTAGAAGAAATTTTTTTTTATCGGTATCAAAATTAGATCTAGTCCTCTGTCGTTCGTTGGCTGATTCATATACGACACTGCAACAAAGAGTGCTTGTTCATTCATGCGCAGTAAGGTTACTTCCGCTTAGTTCCCGAGTGAGCATCAGACCGCGCAACCGGTTCCAGAAATCTTCAAAATGTCCTGATACCAATAAATATTATTTTACAAGTAAGGCGTTGCTCAAACTAGCCGATTTTTTTTTGTTTTTGATTTAATGAAGTTTTATTAACAAAAAGAACAATAAATGAAAAAAAAAAGCGGGAATACGTCTGACAAATCCATTAACATAGATGAGGCAGTTCGTGGCGAGGAGCAAGGGGTTTCGGTGTTTTCGAGATTAAGGAATCCTATTCCCCAACACCACTCAGCATCTCCACATCACCTTTTGTATAATAGTACCTAACACGTGACGTTCAGAAAGACACGGACCAATTAACCTCGGCTTTCAGCATATGAGACCACCCACAGGCTGTCTGGAATCCTATTTACGCACCCGTTTCAGGGTTAGCCACCTTCCTTGCTCTGAAACTGGTCGATTGACTCAAATTACCGCGACGGGATACTGGCGAGCATTTTGGCGGGAGGCGCAAACCAATTTCCCAGATATTGAGTCCCCTGGTTGCTGTAGATTTTACAAGTAAAATTGAAACAAGTAATGGTTCCTGAAAAAGGACTAACGCTGAAATACCTCGGCAAAATTATTCAAGCGCATAGTCTAATCCTTTTTTCTCTTTAGTAAATGTTTCTTTTTAAAAAATTTTACAAAAAAAAAAAAAAAAAAAATGAAAGCAAAATCTTTGTGGAAAAATATTCCCTTTTATTTGTCTATTTTGTTGCCTTGTGGATTAAAATGAAATAAAAAAAATAAAATGTCTGTAACTAAATACAAATTGTGGCAGCCATATAAATAGATTGTAGTTAAAATTATTATACAGAGAGATTTTCTTCGATATGAATATCTATCTATCTATCTATCTATCTATCTATCTATCTATCTATCTATCTATCTATCTATCCCAGTCTTTTCATTATCTATCTATCTATCTATCTATCTATCTATCTATCTATCTGTCTTAACCTGTCCCTATCTATCTATCTATCTATTGAAGTATGTTCATATCTGTCTATCTATTAAGGTATGTTCATATCTATTTATCTTTCCGTTTTGGTCATTTCATATCTATCTATCTATCTATCTATCTATCTGTTTCAGTCTGTTCGTATCTATCTGTCTCTATTTCATTCTTTTCATATCGATCTTTATAGTAAACTTAGTCTGTTCATATCTATCTATCTATCTATCTATCTATCTATCTATCTCAACCTGTTCCTTCCTATCTATCTATCTATCTATCTATCTATCTATCTATCTATCTATCTATAACGTTTCAGAATTCGAGCGTCGAGATGCAATTCCAGTTGGGGTCGTTATTTCCGCATACATATCTTTTGAAAGGTATGACTCAACGTCATGACCCCTAGCTATGGGTAAAATTGTAAGACTTGTGCCACTAAATAATTATAGTCTCTAAAAACTTCTTACAACCAACAAAAATATTTTTGGTTTTTAATAACCTCCAATGGTTGAAAACGAATCTATCTATCTATCTATCTATCTATCTATCTATCTATCTATCTATCTATCTAATATGCTACGTGTTTTATACGCTTTTTTGTTCCCAATATACGTAACATATTTTACTTTCATTAGCGACGCCAGGTGGCTGTGTCTTCGTTTATATAATGGGGGACAGTTCATAATTGTTTAGGAAAAGAGATGAAAAAACCGTCTCCGTGTAAAAGTAAACTACAAAAATAATTGTGTACAAGTGCTTAATGACCTACGTGGGAAAGGCTAATCATAGTAACAATTAAAAAAAAATAATCTTAGTGACAAATTTTAAAAAAATACCCATATCTTGGCAATGCTATGGACTGACTAAACGATATTAGACAATGATAAGCGTATTCTTACTGAAGTACTAACTGCTATCTAGATAATATTCCTGTTGCTAATCAAGGGCGTGACTGACATGGAAAGGCAAGGATGGTGTCTTCACACCGGACCTCGTCAACCTATAGAGCGAGGCAATTCTGAAAAAAACTGGAAATCCTACCGAAATTCAGTATCGGTGACCAGAATCTTAAGATAAGCAGATGACACAGTTCTGGTAGCAGGCACGGAAAAGAAATTACAAAACATCCGATAGAAGGTAGCGAGGGAGAGCGGGAAGAAGGGACTATGTATAAACATCAAGTTCGGAAAGAGAGATAATTACGGCTTCACTTACAGAGACTTGTACATCTACTTTCCTACTAACCCGCATTCCTGGACTACTAATCTTCATTTCAAGGTTGTATTCTTAAGTTTAATACACATATTTTTTCTATTTCAATTACTGGTGTTGTTTATGTATTTGTGCAGGATTCCATCCCCGGAATCCACAACAGATAGATAGATAGATAGATAGATAGATAGATAGATAGATAGATAGATAGATAGATAGATAGAAAAAACGGATAGATAGATAGATAGATAGATAGATAGATAGATAGATAGATAGATAGATAGATACAAAAACCGGATAGATAGATAGATAGATAGATAGATAGATAGATAGATAGATAGATAGATAGATAGATAGATAGATAGTAATGTGGTGCTCGCCCCTTGTACCCAAGATGGACTCGTCCAAAGTATCCTTATACTACGGAGAGATAGCGTGACAAAAAGGTCGAGACAGGCTGTTCACCCAGAGTTATACGAGAGTCCAGAAAGAGAGATAATTACGGCTTCACTTACAGAGACTTGTACATCTACTTTTCTACTAACCCGCATTCCTGGACTACTAATCTTCATTTCAAGGTTGTATTCTTACGTTTAATACACATCTTTTTTTCTATTTCAATTACTGGCGTTATTTATTTATTTATTTGTGCAGGATTCCATCCCCGGAATCCACAACAACCTCCTACAAAAAATAGCGATTGAGAACGAGAAAGGACTAAGCATAAACTACAAGAAGACAGAATGCATGGTCATCAGTAAAAGGCATGAGTCCGAAATGCGATTTGTAGGTCGGAGACACTAAAACAAAGCAGGTGCGGATGTTTAAATCTCTGGGAAGGGTTTTGACGGAGGCCGATAGGTGGATGCGACGCTGAGTTCTGAAGACGGACTGGGATAGTCAAAGATGCATTCCAAAAGATGGAGAGAGTATTGCAAGACAGGAGAATCACTTTGGTAACAAAGAAAAGAGTACTAAGGCGTTACGTGACATCTTTTCTCCTTTTACGACAGCTAGTGTTGGACGATTTCCTCAATGATGAAGAAGAGACTCGAGGCGATGGAGATGTGGTTCTACAGAAGGATGCTAAGGATATCCTGGACCGAGCGTGTGATCAACGAGGAGGTCTTAGACAGGTTGCAAACAAAGAGGAAGCCTAAATTTAACATCAGGATGAGGCAGCTGACGTTTCTGAAACGCGTAATGAGAAAGAAGGGCTTGGAGAATCTGATACTCACAGGTCGAATAGAGAGAAATCGAGACAAGGGAAAGCAAACAACATGCATGCGCATAGAGAAGGAGTTCAGCGACTATACAAAACATGCGTAAGGCAATGATGTGTCTTCTCACCGGACCTATTCGAACTATACAGCGAATCCACAACAACCTCCTACAGAAAATAGTGATGGAGAACGAGAAAGGACTAAGCATAAACTACAAGAAGACAGAATGCATGGTCATCAGTAAAAGGATGAGCCCGAAATGCGATTTGCAGGTCGGGGACGCAAGAATCAAGCAGGTGCGGAAGTTTAAATCTCTGGGAAGGGTTTTGACGGAGGTTGATAGGTGGATGCGACGCTGAGTTCTGAAGACGGATTGGGATGGCCAAGGATACATTCCAAAAGCTGGGAGGAGTACTGTGAGAAAGGATGATTTATTTGGTGACGAAGGAAAGAGTATTGCAAGACAGGAGCTGTTACGTGATATCTGCCGTCCTATTACGTCAGCAAACGTTGGACGGCCTCATCAAAGATGAAGAAGAGACCCAAGGTGACGGAGATATGGTTCTACAGAAGGATGCTGAGGGGATCCTGCACCGAGCGTGTGAGCAACTATGAGGGTTTGGAGAGGATGCAAACAAAGAGGAGGCTTATACTTAACACCAGGATGAGGCAGCTGAAGATTCTGGGACACGTAATGAGAAAAGAGGGCCTGGAGAATCTGATACTCACAGGTCGAAAGGAGGGAAAGAGAGACAAGGGAGAGCAACGCATGACAACATGACAGATCGAGGTCTGCGGTAAGTTGTAGCGGCACGAAACTTATTGAGAACTACAAGGGATAGGGAGAAATGGAGAGCCATGATCGCCTACGTCCTTTTAAGGACACGGGACTTAAAAAGAAGAATCGTGTAAAACGTTTTTTTTTCTCCCAAAATCGAGCTAGGATCATAGTGTAGTATCTGTCCTCGGATAAATTACATTTTATCTCTCAGTTGTGTTTCTGTAAAAATATTGATCGTTTTCCACGGCAGTACCTTTCCTCTACTCTCTTTTTCTCAACATTATTCGTCTTTTCTTCTTTTTTTCTGTTCGTCTTTTTCCTTATACCTCTCTTCACTCTTTACTTCGCCATCCATTTCCTCATTTTTTTCTTCTATTCTCTCTTCCTCTTCTTACTCCTCTTCTTTTTCTCCTCCCGGTTCAACTTCTTCCATACATGTCAATTCACCTCTTTTCTTCCTTCCTCATCTTCCTCTTCTCACTTTTACTTCTTTTACTCCGTCTTCTTCTTCTTCTTCTTCTTCTTCTTCTTCTTCTTCTTCTTCTTCTTCTTCTTCTTCTTCTTTCCCTCAGAATCCTCTTCACTCATTTCTTCCTCTATCTGCCGTCGTCGTCTTCTTTTTCTTCTTCTTCCTCCTCCCCCTTTTCTTCTATAAATACCAATGCACATTTTTAATTTCTTCTTCAACATCCGATTCGCTCTTTTCTTTTCCTACTTTTTGCTTCTTCCTTCATATTCATTTCTTTCTTCCTCATCCTATTCTCCCTTCACTTCTTCTGCTATGTCTCCCTCTTCTTTATCGTTGTTTTTTTCTTCTTCTTTTTTCCCTATATGCCAATGCACCTCTTCACTTTCTCCTTCAACATTCACACTCAGTTTTCCTCTACTCTCTTTCCCTCAACTTTATTCGTCTTTTTCTTCTTCTTCTTCTTTGTATTCTTTTTACTTATATATCAATACCCCTTTTCACTCTTTACTTCGCCATCCATTTCCTCATTTTTTTCTTCTATTCTCTCTTACTCGTCTTCTTTTTCTCCTTCCGTTTCTACTTCTTCCATACATGTCAATTCCCCTCTTTTCTTCCTTCCTCATCTTCCTCTTCTCACTTTTACTTCTTTTACTCCGTCTTCTTCCTCTTCTTTTTCTTCCTCTTCTTCTTTGCATTCCAATACAGGTCTTCACTTCATTCTTCTTCCACTTCTCTCATTTCTGCTCCGTGGTTTTCCTCTTTTGCCGCCTCCTTTTCTTCTTCTTCCTCCTCCTCAGTCTTCCTCCTCTTCTTCCGCCTCCTTTTCTTCTTCCCCCTTCTTCTCAGTCTTCCTGTTCATATTTTATTTTGTCAAAAATCTATTTCTGTTAATATTTTCTTCCTCAAAAATCTATTTCTGTTAATATTATTTTTTTCAAAAACGTATAGCTGGTAATGTTATTTTTCAAAAACCTATAGCTGATAATAATTTTTTAAAAACGTATAGCTTGTAATGTATATCTGGTAATATTATTTTTCAAAAACGTATAGCTGGCAACATTATTTTTTCAAAAACTTATTATCAGAGGCCTTGCTATTGGACGTAGTTTATCGTCATACCCAGGACGCGGATGTAGTTTATCGTCTTACCCAGAAAATACTCGAATAGCACTGCACTATCCTTATACATATGGCATCTAAAAAACAGAAATATTACATCAGGAATAAACTGGAAAATACTGAAAAACACACCTGCCTACATCAACATTACAAAGAAATGCCTACTTTGCCTACACGAAAAGGTAGCAATAATTTCTCATACCCTACAAAAAATTTACTAAACATAAGATCAGAAATAATTTCTAAATGGAGACATGAAAACAAATACCTATTATCAGAATTTATACCAAACGGATAAAAGAAAGAAAGAAATAACTCCAACCAACATTGCTACATAAACCACCATTGACCTTATGAACATGATAAGAGAAGCCATTGACAACATAACATCATCAATTATTTTCTAGTTCAAACTACCATTATAATAATTATAATTATAATTATTCCACCACCATTACAACAATCACTTCTACCACTTTACAATTACTATTTGCTTCTACAATC